CAGTCAAACGGTAGGCCGACTCTATGTAATGTAATACAGGGTGTCTGTTTTATCTCAATACAATGAAATATCTGGCGTGACAGTGAACGTGTTAATAAGTAAATGTTGTTCAAATCATATCGTGTTTGCATTTACTTATTAATACTTATTGAGTAATTAATTTAATGTTGGCCTACCTCCACGTAAAAAAAATATAGGGTCGATTCTACAAGTGTCAGTCAAACGGTAGGCCGACTCTATGTAATGTAATACAGGGTGTCTGTTTTATCTCAATACAATGAAATATCTGGCGTGACAGTGAACGTGTTAATAAGTAAATGTTGTTCAAATCATATCGTGTTTGAAGAAAAATTTCGGGATAAAAAGACGTGAAATTAAAAAAGTTGGTATTTAAATCGCTTGGTTGCCTCTTTTATTCGCTGTCCTTGTCTACGTTCGGCAAACTACAAAGGCGGGCGCAAGGTTCGAAAACATAGTCCCTGACTCTACAAGTGTCCGGTTCAGGTTCCTTGCGGACTGACATTTGTGGAGAATTTACTGTACTCCCGCTACAACACGTCAAAAATTTTCACCGTACAGAACCTCGGTTAAAGAAACTACTTTTCCCACTCGCACCGAATCCGTGTTACTCGTAAAACAATAACGTTGCCCGGTCCGCGGCTCGATTCTCCTTTTCAAAGCGATACCGTTCGATCGTGGGGGGAGAGAGGCCACGTATCGCCGGCTAATCGATCAAACAACAACGCCGTCGCGTTGACATCGCGCCAACGTGTCCAGCCAAATATATTCGATAATCGGTCCGCGGGTATCGTTCGCTCGGTTCCATCGACGTGTTCGCGAAAACACCCACCGAAATTATACACCATTGAACGAGCAATGTTTTATGCAAATATCGCGTGGTATTCGGGTGGGATTTGTTAATTAATCGACTGGGAACGAGCTTCGATACTACTCTTCAACGGCGTACAATGCAATCGTTTTGCAGGTGTTCAACGTGAAACGTTGATACGCGCGTTCAACGACAGAGAGGAGGCACTTCGGCGTTTCACAGCGGAGAAAGAAAGTTTCGTGGTTGAATTTTTATCGTCGAGTGGGCGAGGGGAGAGAAGGAAACTTCACTCGTACTTATCAAAACCGTCGTCGTTCGATCATTCCCGACAGTGTATTCGCGAAATGGAGGCGAGTTGGCTCCACTTTGTATCGCGATTTAATTCTCGCCGGCGTAAACCCGTTTGATATTCTCCAGGCGTATCAATCGGCGACGTTCCTTTTCGTTCCTCTCGCGAAATCGCTTTATACATTCCGCGGAATATGAATCCGTCCAGAATTACAAACGATCGTTTCTCCGTCTCCCCTACCTCTTCCCTACTTAGCCTCGCTCTCCACGGCCAGTTTCGACCCTTCGTCGCTGATTACCATGCGAAAAGTTGCCTGGCTGCGACACCAACGAAACCTGTTTGCAATTGTAATCGTCCTTGGAGACCTACTTATACGATTCCCTGGATAATACACAGATTTTTCCAAACCACGAGGAACTACTTGTGAATCTGGAGAACGCAGGGCTACAATTATCTCAGGTAAACCTGAAATTTTTCGAGATCTCAGGTATTCGAGGTATCTTTTCGAGCTCCTGCCGCCTCGTCCTTGGAATTTTTCCAGACATTAACGAAGAAATTCCAGGATCCAGCCGGTGTCTTTGGGATATGAAATTCCGAGTCATTCGAGATCTTTTGTAACCAGAGAGCGGGGAAGTTTTAAGATTCTCCAGGACATCGAAGCCCCATGGCTACTCTACAAAGAGATCGGTTTCTTCAGTCTACGAGGAACGGGCTGGAAAGAATACGCGGATACGTACCTCTATCCCTTTTTTTCAAGTTAAATCGTCGTCACGAGGTAGCAAGAATTTTGGATCGATCCCGAATTGGTCCATGCTTGTATCAATCTCAATACGCTCTAATTTCGCGCAGTCGAACGTATCCGGATGGTAAGAGGATAGGCGAGACGGTAACGTACGATCCTATCTGTCATCGTTATTTTACGTTCCATTTCCTCTGTAGCGTCGCTTAAAAATCCTCAATGGAACGAGGAGGAAAAAAAGAAAGAGAGAGGAAGAAAATAAACGAAAATGTGACACGGGTGGAACGCTCGTTTCATCTTTCGAATTCGACCGACAGCTATTCCACCGTAATGCTGAACGTTTCCCTTTTTATCCAGCGTTATAATCGCATCCAGCGAACGTATCCAGTTCCAAAAAGGGAAGTTTAGCCGGCGGAAAGGCACGAAATCGATCCACCATCGCCCGTCTCCCTTCCTCCCTCTTGCTTCATCATCGCTCGGGACCTTTTTATCGCGCGACACGGAGATCATAAAAATATAACAAGACCGTTGCAGCCGGTTTTTCATCATGACATCGCCCATCCTATTTTCCAACTTGCATCAGCCGACGCCGTCTCGTAAAAGCGACGGAATAATAAAGGCAACAGCCTCGAAAGGGCAACGACAGAGACAGAGCTGCGTGGAGAGGGAGACGCGGTACGCGAAATAGATAAACTTTCGCCACGACAAAGCGAAACATTACCTACTGTTTTTGTAACGCTGGAATGGAAAAAGCTCGCGACACTCGACGATTGAAAGTTTCGCATAAACCGAGTGCTTTGAGCTGCTTTTAGAAATTAATCGAAATTCTTGCTTAAATCAAACAAGCTTCCATCTACTCTTTCTTTCTTCAATGTCAAATATTCCAGAATAAATTTTGGTAATCTAATCTAGCTCTAAAGCAGCAATACCTCTCTTATAGCTGTTTTCATTTATTCCAAACATTCCCTCGATTTATTACGCCAAACTAATTTCCCAAAGCACCCTTGTAAAATAATAAAACCGAATCAACACGCGTTCCCCAATTTTAACACGCCTGTCTCTTTACGACGTGAAAAACAAGCGGACGCAACGCGTGGAGAGATGAAAAAGGGGAAGAAAAATTACCTTCTTGTCGCCGAGCATGCCGATTTTACAGTCGAGCAACATCGTGCTCCCTATTCTGGCAGTGATATTCATCTCCTGGTCACCGTCCTCGAAGTAAGGCCCGAATTTCCCGAAAGCGCTGTCCACGCTAGGCAGAACGAACTTCCGTCCGGTTAGAGGCCTCTGGGTACTGCCGATGCTCTGTTGATCACCCTCCATCTCGGTCTTGATCGACGGTTTTATCTCGTAGAACGCCTTGGTGGACTTGCTACTGTTCACCGTTCTGGAATGATCTTTCCTCGATTCGCCCACGTTCCTCCCTTGTTCATTCCCGTACTGACGTCTGTCTGCGTCCTCGGACACCTCGGCGGCAGGTACTTGGAACGAGATAGCTCTGATGTCGTCGACGTTCTTCTGCTCGATCTGTCTCGCCTCTGTGACGATCGTTTGGTGGATCGACGGGATCGTGACGGTGATCGAGCCTTCTCTGTTCACCTTGTCCACGCGAGAATCGTCTATCGGATCGTTTTCGTGTTCCACGACGTTTCGCAGATCCTCTTCGTTCACCTGGACACCGTCCAGCTGTTCTTGACCTCTCGGATCGGGCAACTGTATCTCCCAGTGTCCGGTACTCGAGGATATTTCTGCTCGATTCGGTCGAGTCGAGGCTAGGAAATCCCTGCTCGCGTGCTGAGCCTTGCTTTCAGGATTGTTGCGTTCCATTGGTCTTCCCTCTGATCCCAGAGGATCGTGTTCCGGCTCGTGAACATCGCTCGGTGCCGCAGCGACGGACAACAGGTCGCTCTGATCCCTCTGCACCTCGACGATGCTCTGTTCGTTCACTTGCGAGACGCTCGTTACGTTTTCCTGATTTCTACGGATCTGATGGGTGTCTTTGGTCGAGGGAACCTCGTTGGCGGTGTCGTTCACGCGTGTTCGAAGCGTCACGCCGATTAGGTCGTCCGCGATGCTACTCTGGTTCGCGGTCTTTTCGTCCTGCGGGAGACGAGGCTCCTCCTCGTCCACTCCGGGATGATTGATACTGGGCTCGATGGCGCCGCTGTCCGCCCCTGTGGCAGAGAAAAAAGAGGTGAATCAGACGGGTTCTGTGCTGTCCTCTGCTTCCGGCAACAATGGAATTAGATGGCTACCGACGAATACAACGATAGACATATAATAGAGAAATATCTGGGAATTCACGAGGAGTATCCGTTGAATTCTTGGGCGCCAGAAATGCGTACGAGATTGTCAGCGTCCATAAGACACTTTGCGAGGGCTAGATATATGGTTAAATAACGATTTAATGGACAAGAATATTGTAGGCATTTGGCACGGTTTACGGCGACTGACAGAGGCCAGACCCAAGTGCCCATCGGTTCAGCCCACAAGAGGCTTTTGCCTTTCCTCCCGAAGACAGCTCGTGTCCATGTAAAATAGTTTCGAAGTAAACCGCTTAGTAGCATCCTGAGTAAAGTTAGTCACGTCGAACCACCTACGATATGCAGCAGAAATGTCACAAAAGACTACCGCACAATAAATCCAAAGCCTCAACAGTCTATCAGACATTCACAATTATTCCAAACAACCTATGCTATCTGAACGAACTCCTAAACGAGCCGCGACACCAAATAAAACTCGCACCTCGCAATTTATCCCCGATGAAACTTTAATCATTCGGCGCATACAGTGTTCGATAAAAGTATACGAACAGGCTCCGCGGCACACCGTCCGCGTCGATCTCACGTTTCCCAAAAAGCCGCAGTTCCTGAGCGAACGGTACGTTTCCTCTTTTATAGACCGCGATTCGATACGTTCCTTTTTCCTTCTCCCTCTCCTCCTTTCGTTGTTCTATCCGGGCATATCGATGCATCTTTTAGTACCCATCGAAAAATGACGTTTTATCATCGCACGAAAGCGACCCGGTTCTTGCGTTCCATGAATATGTAACTCTGTCTCTCCGCGCGGCGGATAACAAGGAGAGGAGAGAGAATATGGTAGCCCTCGGGCGGCAACCGTGTTCTCCACGCTCCATACTTTTCACGAGACTTTCAAGAGAGATACGCGTCATTTGTAATTTTACGTCGAAACGGATATCTCGCGAGCGAACCTCGTCCTCTCTCCTCTCTTTCCGATAGTTCCTCCCGTGGCAGGTAGCTCGTGTATCGACTCCTTTTTCGCACCCTTCCTCTCTCACCCTCTCACGTACCGATGATTTTTTCACTTCAAACCTGCGCCCTTTGTTCAACCACGCGGGTTAATGAAAATTGTAGTACACGCGCGATGCTTAGCGAGGAACGCGCGCGAGTTTGGAGAGATGGTCGGATCTATCATCGAGGATGCGTGTCTCTTGCGCATCCGGGAAGAACTTCGAACCGGCAATTTCGAAGTGAAGTGAAATTTGAGAGGATCAGCTTGATAGGGAAACTAAATTCGTCGGGATGTCTGACTATTTTGCGGTTCAACTACTGGATACTGTAAGTAGTTACGCGTAGCATTTCGGAGGTATTATATCGACGTGTTTCCCATACTCGTTGCTTTAAATTATCGTATGGAAATTGGGAATTTATCGTTGTTAGGTAAACGTCGGGAAAACTGATCCAATATCGCGTGCATATTTGTGAAAAACAAGTACGTAAAACATCGTTCGGCGAATTATTTCAATCTCGTATCGTAACGTTTTATTCAATTTTTGTCAGAATTATTCCGATGTTATTAATTTCTTTCAATATTCGTAGTACGTATGATTTTTTGAGCGAAATGCTATTTACATACAAATTTCGGGTATTATTTTCACTCGTCAGAGGCCCCGTTTGCATTCTTTATTTAATCCCGAAATATTTTTACCAAATTGTTCTTCAACAGCAGAGTACTCCAATTTTTCTTAACAATTCTTTCCTTCTAATCGATTAATTCCCTCGTTCCTCGACTTCCGCCCCTGCAGGAAGCATACCGGACAATCCGGGGGAAGTAGTTCCTCTTATCCCGCATTCTTTCCATACGTTCGCGCGAAACTCGCGCCATTTACTGCTGGAATTATAACGCGGATTAAAATTTCGTCGCATTCTTTCCGCGGCTGGAGCTCGCGACACGGCCGCGCTGGAATGCCTTCCCGGGACGAAATAACCGCCGCCACGGCCGGAAAAATTCCTGCCGCGCGCGGTAACAATGCTTCCGTCTAATTTCTTTGTTCCGCGGCTCTCCCACCTTCTCTGCGCGAAAAATCATCCCTACCCTTCGGAGAATTTCATTTCGAGACGTCGAAATTGTCGTTCGCGCGATTTCCTCACGTGTGCCAGAAATCTTCATCTTGGAAGTTTCAGGTCAAACTCTGATATCCGAGGAGTAACAATACGCTTCTCCCGAAGATGTTCGTTTATCGAGAACAAGCTCTCGGTTGTATATATAGTACGCGGTAGATGCGATTTTGAACTGGAGGAGAAAATAGTGAAAGATAGAGAAAAATAGAGAAAAGATTCTTGCTACTGTCGGGGAAAATAGTGGAACAAAAGGGAGAGCAGTCCGGAGAAGTAGCGACACGATTTTTGGAGGAAACGAGGACGCTAACAACGCTACGCTGTTTTTCGGTGATATTTCACGGAAGATCAAAGCGGCAGTATCGCCTTTTGTTTCGTCGAGTTATTGTTTAAACTGGATTCTCATTCGATCGGCTGTCACGTCTGTTTCTTCCGGCCGATTGGAAACTGCACCGAATGAATTTCAGAGCACAACGTGTTCCTCCTCTCTCTCTCTCTCTCTCTCTGCACGCGGTTTCCGAGGCGGGACATAACTTCAGCTCTAACCGGAACTCTATTTGTTGTCGAATCCTATGGATATATTCTTCTTGATAAAACAGAAATTCTTTTCTTCCCCCCCGGTGTTTGGCGACTTCGTTCAGCTTTCTCGATTCTACCTCGATCCTTTACGAGCTTCGACGCCAGATTTCGCAGCCACGATAAAATTCTGACTTCTCTTTCGAATGCCCCATTTTCATCCAACCTGCTGCCATAAGTCTCCAGTTATCTCGAAACGTA